GTATTCATATATGATAACTAACATAAATCACGTATAATTTTTTCTAATTACGCTAATATATTTGAAAAGATATCATACTATTATATATAGGGAATATTATATAATATTTCTAAGACTACTAATCAACTTGGAGCATATGTATTAATTATGTTCCAAACTTGTTCTAAAAATACTCAATTCGTATTCCATTTAAAGGGCTTGTGAATATATTACAAAATTGTTCTTCTGTCTTCACATAACCAGTAGATATAAAGTTTTCCTGAATCTTTTCTTGGATAAATTGACAATCAATCTCAATATATTTGGTTATCTCATGATACATAAGATTTGAAACAATATGAAGGGCAACTTGATTATTGCACTAGAGTTTTGCAGGAAATCTGAGCCTCAAATCCACTTCATCTAAAAGATGATGTATTTATAAACTTTCGTATGTGAACTGGGTCATAGCTCTATATTTAGACTCTACGCTTGAGTGAGATACAATTGTTTGCTTCTTACCTTTTCATAATACGAGATTTCCACCAACAAAAACACAATAACTCGTAATAGACCTTCTATCAATCTCAGATCCAACCCAATCAGCATCTATAAAACATTCATTATGAGTATATCCGTAATTTCTAAACACTATGCCGAGTCTTGGTACACCTTTTAAGTAACACAAAATCTGTTCCAAAACCTCTCAATATTTGACTATAGGTGCAGACATAAATTGACTTGCAACAATAACAAGATATGCAATATCTGAACAAGTCACGGTGAGGTAATTCAAATTTTCAATTAGTCGCCTGTATTTTTCTAAATTATCAAGGGGATTACCATCATCTTTTATAAGATGTTCATTGGTACCATATGTGTATCGCATGACTTAGCTCTCAGCTTTTCTGTTTTTGCAAGTAGATCAAGTATATACTTTCTTTGAGATAAAAAAATCTATTCCTTGTTTCTTGTTACTTCAATTTTCAATAATTATTTTAGTTGTCCCAAGTTTTTGGTATTGAACTTTGGATGCAAGAATGACTTGAGAGAAGATATTCTTGCATCATTATCTCCTGTAATCTTAATATCATCAATATAAATAATAAATATAATACTAGTTGTTGATTATTTAAAAAGATTGAATGATCATATTTGTTCTTCTTCAATCCGAACTTACAGACTACCTCATTAAACTTGTCAAACCATGCATGGGGACTCTGCTTCAAACTATACAAAGATTTCTCCAGATGACAGAATTTCATGTACTCTTCCTGAGCAACAAACCAAGGTAGTTGCTCTATAGCCACTTCTTCTAAGAGATCAACATGAAGAAATATATTTTTAATATACAGCTAGTGTAAGGGGTTAGTTCTTGGAGGCTGCAATAGATATGAATAAACGAATAATGGTAAATTTGGCCACTGAAGAGAATGGATTAGAATAGCCCAGAAGTCTGAGCATAATAGTTTGTTGCCAGTCGAGTTTTAAGTCTCGTCACAGAGCCATTTGGATTCACTTTGATTGCAAATACCATTTACACTCTACAACTTTTTTTTTTGGGTAAATCCACCAGATCCTAGATATGAGGTATCATGATTATCATCAAGAGTATTTATCTCTTCAAGCATGACATTACGCTAACTAGGATGATTCAGAGCCTTCTTAAATATCTTGAATATAGAAGTGAAATTTATAGAAGCAATTAAAAAGATAGATGAAGGAGACAAGTGACAGTAAGAAATGAAATTAGCAATGAGATAAGTAAAATGAGGAATGATTCATTGACATATACCTTTACGAAAACTTATGGAAAGATTAAGATCATGAGTGGAAGGATCAGATGACAAAGAAGTTGGTGCGAGACCTGTATCATTAGTATGTTGTCTTTTAGAATAAGCATGAATAATTGGCAGTTGTTCTTGAGTTGAAGGGACACCATTATCAGTTTGCTTAGAAGGCACATCAAAAGAAATATCATTATCTGGTTGCTTTATAAAGGTACTGTTCTGGAATCTATAGATGAGTCATTCATTGTCCTTCACCTGATTTGTAGAACTGGACTGTGAGGAGAAGAACAGTATATTCTCTGAAAAGATTATATCGGTGGATACTAGATATTTATTGAGGTATGGAGAATAACACTAATATCTCTTTTGCAGACGAGAATATCCCAAAAAGGCACACTTCAAGACTTTGGGATTTAACTTAGTAATACTAAGTCGTACATCTCGATCATAACAAATACTACCAAATACTCGTGGTTGTATTACAAATAATGACTTATTCGGAAAAAGAATACTGTAACAAATATCACTTTCGAGTATTGTAAACGGTAGACGATTAATCAGGAAATAAGTAGTGGATACAATCTTAACCCATAATTACTTAGGAACTTGTGTCTGAAATAAAAGGACTCGAGCAGCCCCGTTTTGATATGGTGTTTGAACACAAGAAGACTAATGAAAAATCCCATGTTGAGTCATATAATTTTGAAATGAATATGATATATATTCTTTAACATTATCACTTCTTAGCACATGTATAGAAACATTAAATTGAGTTTTGATTTTTGCATGAAAAGCACAAAAATAAGCAAACACTTCATAATGATATTTAAACTCTGTTTTAGACATAACAGGACATGAACCCCAAATATCATAATGAACTAATTCAAATGCAGACTTAGTTTGTTTATTAATTTTTTGACTCAACGAGTTACGACGGTGTTTTGCAAATTTACACGACTCACAATCTAATGAAGTTACACTATGAAATTAATTACATAACTTTTTCAACACAGTGAAGATGGATGTCCCAACTGATAATGTACTTCAAATAGAGAAGCAACACTACACCAGACAACTGATCGAGACACCCAACTATCAAGAATGTAGAGACCGTCTAATACATGTCCTTTACCAATAATCTATTTCGTCATAAGATCTTAAAAAAGACAATGATAAGGAAAGAATGAGATACAACAATTAAGATTTGTAGTAAGTCTACTTATAAAATCAAATTGAAAGCAAGTTTAGGTAGACGTAAAATAGATGTCAAGGTGTGCTCTGTGTGATTGAAAGCTAAAGAAAATATTAGAGTTACCTGTCATGTGATCTGTATCATCAAAACTAATTACTCATTTGTTTGATGAGGAGATAAAACACTTTTTTACTTGATTTAGCAGAAGTAGTGGTTGGTGTACATTCTTTCAAAGATTCTTAAAACTGAGAGAATCTTGCATACTCATCGGCTGAAACCATAAGAGTTTTCTTAGAAAAGGAACTAATAGCAATAGTAGCAATATCAGTAATTTGTGTTCTTTAATTGCGATTCTGTAATTTCTTGCATTGTCGTTTTGTACGTCCGTTCATGATAGTAATAACAAATAATATTGCTTGAATCATTATTCTGACTGTCTTTTGCTCTGCTTCTTCCTCTAGTATTATTTTTTCCTCCTCCAATGCACACCTTAATCTAAAATGGTACTCGCAGAACTGCCCGAAATCATGTTGGAGAGTAGATGATCGCTTATTGTTGCGAGATTTGCTTTGCTGTGACTTTCTCCTCTCCAACCATCTAGTTTCGTGCTCAAAATCGGTCGACCGTGCTCTTCTGCGACTTCTGTCTTTGTACGGGAAAACAACACGACGAGAATACCCTCCTCCGACGAACTCGACGCACACAGCCTCAAACTCCCTCCTCTGCTTCTCCCGCATACACCACCGTGCTGGCTGCACTCTGAACTGCTTGGAGATTGATGGTCGACTTCCTCCATCGCCAAAAATGGGTTGTTCAAACATTCTTTTGTTCTGACGTAATCTAACCCCTAAAATTCTAACCCTAAATTTAGCTATGATACCGTGTAAGAGTTAGGAAAAAAATATTGAATATTTACTTGTGTTTTATTGAAATCAGAATAAAGATATATACATGTAGATATATTCATATATAGTAAATAACATAAATCACTCTATTAATTTTCTTCTTAATTACGCTAATATATTTCGAAATATAATCATGCTATTATGTGTAAGAATATTATATAATATTTTAACAAGTTGTAATAGTTTATTTTTAGGAGATTAAATATCATGTACTTAGTGTTGGATTATTTATCAACAAATGGATTTAATGTGAGTCTTGGTGTGCATAACAAACTATCGGTTTATTGGGTCTATTTAAAAGTAATTAATTACGGTTAAATGATTACGGACTTTAATGCATTAGGTTTAAGTATGAGCTTGTAATATGTGCTGATATCATATTTATAATTTCTCATTTTATGATGGACAAAATAGAAAATAACAAAAGTCAATAATACAAAAAGTGGTTATGATCCCTAAATCACACGTGTGCATTTTGTTTATTTTCTGTTATCCCGTCAGCAGTAAAAAATTAATATTTTTACATTCACGTGTTGATTTGAAAGATTTACTGCAAGATGATAAGATCTTTTTTGTTATGGATTCAAGTACACTTTAGTGTTCATGCTCTTTGATTCAATATGAGTTTTCTTATTATTTTTCAGATCTAGTTTGATTTGATTTTTAACAAGTGGTATCAAAGTTACCTCGTATTGAATCTTTGATATTCGAGTTTTACTTTTTTGATACAGATATATATAGATTTTTTCTTTTAATTATGGATTAATGAAACAAATTTTTTTTGAATACATTTTTCTTTGGCTTTGTGGAGTTTTCAGATATGTTTTGGGAAATTATAAAATATATATGTGTATATATATTTTGCAGTTTTTTTAGGAGGTCGAATGGCTTCACTGATTACCACGACCAGACCATGAGGTGCAACCGTGAGGTATCACCACGGTAAAAAAAGCCAATATATATGTGGCAGCCTTTGTGTGTGTGTGTGTGTGTGTGTGTGTGTATATATATAGAAGAAAGAATAAGAAAAACATGAAGAAAAAGGGAGGTCTATCGGTCTCCCAAACGCAGCTTCACAGTCGCAACTGCACCTCACGGTCGCAGCTTGCAAAATGGAAACGTCGGCGATGGCCACCGCATGAAGGTAGAAGAAGAAGACCAGAAAGAGAAAAAAAAAAAGGTTTTTTAAATTTTTTTAGGTTTCCTTCTTCTGATTTGGGTTTTGGGCCGTGGACCCAATGTGGTTTTGTTTTTTGTGGGCTGTGGGCCAAACAAGAAACAAGGAAGAAAGAAAAAGGAGGGGAGGAGAGGCCTGTATGTGCATGGGCCCAAAGCCCAAATGAGTTTAGGTCAGACCCGACCCAGTCCAGACCAAACCGGTCAACGGTCAATGTTTGATCGGTCAACGGTCAATGTTTGATCGGTCAACAATCAACGTTTTGACTGATCAATGGTCAATGGCCAACGTTTGACCATATAGAAATTTAAAAAAAAAAATTATTTTTTTATTTTTAAAGATATTTCAGATATTTTCCTTTCTTATAAAGTATAAATCTGATATAACTTTGGATTTAAATATTGGTGTATGTGTATGTATTTTAAAATGAATTAATTTATCCAACATTTCAAAGTGATCTCTCTTGTATTAAGTTGATTTATTTTTTAATATAAACAGCTGTATGAGTGTAATTTGTATGATGTTACTCGGTCCAAAAGGGGGTTAATGTTTAACATATAAATATATGACAGTTATTCAATTTAGCATGTGAATTATAAATCGATCTAAAGGAAGATTTATTGTTTGATGTGTTATTATAAATCGACCCCAAATGAAGATTTATTGTTTGTCTTGTTCTTACTGTCAATATTTAATTACTATTATAATATATCACTTACAAGTTAAGATTCTATCCAAATATAAAGTGTTAATGGAGTGTATGATATCCTGATATGAGATTTACTTTTATTTAAATTCATTATTATAGTTTATGTTTTATAATTTTATGCGAGTATTGATTGATTGAATGTTGTTTGTTCTCTGTTCAGTTCCTTTTTTTGCTGGAAGTATTAGCGTAAATGTTAATTTTATCCGAATATTAAATGATATAAACTTCAAGACAGAGAAAAATAGTGTTAGCTTTGTTTTTGGAGTTATGGATTTGGATTGAGCTTTACGGGTTGATCAACTAGAGCTACTTACTTCTGACTATCTCTTGAAGATAAAAGGGAGTTTGAAAGATGGAATTGGTTAAACTGTATGAGTTTGTTGGTATTGCAATAGGCCATTCCAGAAGTTTTTAAGGGCACTGTGTTCGATGAAATCACTATAACTAGAGATTTTCTTGAGTCTCTCGAGCAACATTTCGCCATGAGTAATAAGACCAAAGCGTGTAAACTTTTGATGAACCTTGTTTCCATGAGATATGAAGGAAAGAAAACATAAAAGAGTACATAATGAAAATGTCTCATACAAGGCACTCATATTGGACTTATCACAAGAATTACTGGTGTACTTTGTTTAGATCTCTCTTTCACCACAGTTTAACCATTTTAAAGTGAGCTATAACTGCCAGAAGGAATCTTGGACTCTCAATGAACTCATCTCACACTGTGTTCATGAGGAGGAAAGACTAAAGTATGAGAAAATAGAGAGTACTCATCTAACTACGATCTCAAATGACAAGAAGAATAAGAAAAAAAAAACCGGTAGAAGTGTTGCGGTTCCAGTGCAACAGGAGAAATAACAAAAGGTATAAAATGATAGTGTCTATTTCTTTTGTAAAGCTCTGGGTCATCAAAAAAAACAATACGTCAACTATCATGTGTGGCGCGCAAAGAAATGTATACTTCTTAATTTTATTTATTCTGATGTTAATTTAACTTTGGTACCTGGACACACATGGCGGACAGATTATAGTGCAATAACTCACATTAATGTGTCCATGTAAGGTTTCCTTCGTTATCACAAGCCTAATGAATGTGTCATATTCATTTATGTCGACGATGACAAACCAGTGGAGATGGAAGCAATTGGTACGTTTAGATTATTATTAAATGTAATACCCTTAATTAATTAATTTATTATTTTATAAATATAATTTTTTATTAATTTTTTTAATTCTTATTTAATGTAAAAATGTAGAAAATTAAATGGATGATGAAATTGAAAACAATTTTGAGAAAAATGAGTGAAAATTTAGGTTCTGAGAGTATTTTTGAAAAGAAAATCAGAAATTGGGGGTCAAAACATAATCTAAGAAAATTGTGCCACGTAGGACATCCAGTCAGTAGCCCCGACGAATCGGAGCGCGCGGGCAAGGGACGCTGATGCTGTACCACACGGGAGGCCACACGGACGATCCACATGCCCGCGATCAGACGGTCCGGATTCGTTCCCGCACGCACAGATAGTTAGGATCAGTTCCCTCCTCAGACGTGATCGGACGACCACGATTAAACGAAATGAATGGTTCAGATCCACTTCTTATTTAAATGCGATCAGACGACCCAGATCAAATCACGATGAATAGTCCAGATTCACTTCCTATTTAAATACGATCGAACGGTTCAGATCAAACGCAATGGACGACTTAGATTAAAAGGAGACGGATATAAATAACTCTCTTCACACTAAACCCTAACCCTATTCGCCAAACCCCCCCGCTGGAGAAGAACCAGTCGTCGAGAAGGAAGCTGACCGCCGGCACCGTCGTGCCAGAGCTACTTTCGATCGCCAAAAGAGGTAAAAAAAATTTTCTTTCCTCTAAATTCGATTTTAATCACCCACATGGTCAAATTAGAGCAAAAGGACCGGTGGATTAGCCGGAAACCGCAAACAAAACCGGGGACGCTGCGAAAAATGCAAAAATCACCTCAGATGAGGTCCTTTCCGATTCTTGTTATGCGTAATTCTTCCACCATTGTAATCGCCATCCCATTCTCTACAGGTTGACAGAGGCAAAACACCCAACCGCGAAGGTGAACTGACAGAGTCACTGCACCAGAAAATCCCACTGCCGGTAAGTTTCAGTTTTTTTGACTTTTTTGGCCAACCGAGGCCTCTTAATGTGTTTTCTCGCAGGAATTGGTACCGGCCAAAAACAGCCAATCCGAGGCAAACCGCCGCTGCGAGCAGCAGTGTCGTCACTAGAGTATAGCAGAGCTGCCATGCTGGAATTTTGAAATTGGCCAAAAAGGATTCGTAACACTGATTTTTTATTTTTTGGGATATTTCTAGGTATTTGAAACACGTTTCAATCTATAAAGAAAAATTTAGGGAACCAGGGGACCACCAGTAGGCACAGTCAAAAATTAACATTTTGGACATTAGTTTTAGTAAGAATCCCTCACCTTATTCCCTATCATGGAATTGAAGTTTAATTTTAAATAATATAGTATTTTATGACACTTAGGAAACATTCATAATGAATTACAGGTTATTAATAGAGGCAGAACTAGTTATTTACTATCGTTTGCTATGTTTAACCGATTACCTGATTTTACAGTTTTTGAATGCATAATAATATACTGAAATTGGTATGATGATGTGATTGTATTCCATTGATGCATGTTTTGCTTATTTTATGTGATTATGGTTGAATTAGGAAACTGAAAATTAAAGGTAAACGGAAAATTGTTTGATTAAGTGGATGGATGAAACGACATCCTTACTGGATATCCTGGAAGATGGTGAACGGACTGGGTACATAGAAAACTCTATCGTGAACGTTTCCTCATACCAGACAAGGTATCGAGGTTTGGTAATTGCGCTCATATCGGACGGGGTATAGGAATGGTCCATTTTACCCTCATATCGAACGAGATATTGAGGGATGGTATCTTTTGGCGCTCATACTGGAAGAGGTATGAAGGGTTTATTGAAACTGTAAAAAAAAGAGGGTTCACGCATAGTGGGACATCCCTATGGACCTCCATGGATACCAGTAGGCTGATAAAATGGAAGGTTATTGTTCGAACTGATCATATATGAAATTATGATACGTATTATGTTATTGACTTTATAGGTTGTTTTTGGTAATCTCGCTACGGTA